CAATACAAAATAATTTCTATTATATAAGTTACAATTTATAATAATGTTCTGCACATTATTTAAAATCTATATAAGGTATTCTACTGGTACAATTTATTTTATTCACATTTAACTTTGCAGTTAATTCTATAAAAGGGAATACAACATTAAAAAATTAACATTGAATAGTTCAGTATTATACATTGTGTAATTACAATATTACTTAGCAATAGTTTAAATTTAATTTGTTTTGACAATTGTTGATAAAGTTTACTGACCTTAAGATTTATTTAATTAGTGATAACCCGTATATAATATTATAAGTGGTATTTAATGAGCTGCACATTAAATAAAACTTATTTTAAATTCTAATAAGATTCAAATTATCATTAATTTGGTGTAGAAATAAAAATTAATTACTTTATTTTAAAACTCAACTCTATTTTAACTGAAAATTGTTTTAAAAAATTCTAGTTATAAAGCTTTGCACAATAAATAATCTTCAAAAATGTCTTTAAATTTGATAATAGTTTTTAAACTGATATTATTTCTTGGCGTTCAATGCGATGAAGAGATCCGCAGTTATTCCGGATATTCAGTCATTCGTTTAGTCCCTAAGACTGAATCACAACTCAATTATTTGAGAGAATTAGAGGAAAATGTGTTAGAAGTAAGTTTTAACCCATTTATTGAATCTATTCTGGATAATAACATTGCTTTATATGAAGCTTGACTTCTGGAGGGGTCCCTCATATGTGGACAGACCCGTCGATGTTATGGTTCCGCCGCAACTCAATCATACATTTGATAAGATTTTTGAAGACAAACTATTGGAGAGAAATGTTATGATAGAAGATCTAGAAAAGTATTTTAATACAAAAGTTTAAAAAATTTAATTTTGTAAATAATTTCTATAAATATAATATTTCAGTGATTTTATTGAAGACAAGGCGGACGACCCTGCGTTGAGAGCAAAGCCATTGCGAGCAGATATAGTCGAAAGACATTTTGATGACTTCCAGAGACTCCCAAAAATTCATTCATATTTAGACGCCGTTGTATCTAAATATCCGGCCGTGTCTTCCGTTATATCTATCGGTAACTCATATGAGGGCCGACCCCTCAAAGTGATTCGTATTGGCGAAGGCAATGAAAACCAAAACAAACCAATCATTTTCATTGAATCGGGAATCCATGCGCGCGAATGGATATCTCCGGCCACTACTCAATGTTTTGGTCAATACCTCGTTCAGGGATATAAAGCCCGAAATGCGGACATCACTGCTTTGCTCCAGAAATTTGATTTCTATATTCTTCCAGTTCTTAATCCTGACGGGTATTCCACGTAACATTTTAGATGATCATTAAATATGTGACCAATTCTTTTGTTAATATAGGTATGAATACACGCACACCAGGGACAGGATGTGGAGAAAGACTCGTAAGCCATACGGCAGCTGTTATGGTATACATTTAGCTAACTCTTTTTTGATCCTGATTCAAGTGTTTTGTCGTTGATTCAGGTGCTGATCCTAACAGAAACTTTGGGTACCAATGGGGAGGACAGGTTAGGTTTTGTTTCTAGTGAACGTTAACTTTGAAATCTAACAGTGCGTCTATTTAATCCTAACAGGGAGCTTCAACTAATCCATGTACAGTATTGTCTGTTTCATCAAAAAAAGTTTTCTCATTCAAATCTATTAGTCATGCATTTTTTGATAAATTGTTAAGCGATTACCAATTTTAAAAATGTGTTTATTGTCATATCAGGTTTTAAGAAGCAACGAATAATTTAGAAACTTTATACTTGATACTATAAAATTTTGAAATATTTGTTTATAAACTGATTGAAGGTTCGGAGACATATAGAGGTCCGTCCGCTTTCTCAGAACCCGAAACTAAAGCCGTTTCCGATTATGTGATGAGAATCAGAGACAAAATAAAGGCATATTTAGCCGTTCATTCATATGGACAGTATTGGATATATCCCTGGGTATTCATCTTATTAACATTAGTAATCTTTAGGACTTTAAAAATTAAATTATTTTTCTCAAAGGGTTGGACTAATACCTTGACTCCTGATGATAAAAATTTGGTGAGTTTTGAGTGAAATGATTGAAATATAAAGAATTAAAACTAATTTGAATGTTAGGCCCGATTGGCAAAAGTAGCTTCAAATGCATTGGCCTCTGTTTACGGCACTAAATACACGACCGGCACCTCCACTAATGTTCTCTGTATGTCATTTCATTCACCTTTAAAAACTATTCAAAATGTTATAATAAATTTTACTTAAACGACAACAAAATGATGAGATGCGGCCGCTGGAGGAGCAGATGGTAAGACCTGTTTCGTATATTATATTCATTACTAATAGAGATGTGATGAACAGACTGGGCGTACGGGACGGGTGGCATAAAGTATGCCTATACTGTGGAACTCAGAGACAAAGGGAGCTATGGTTTCGCTCTCCCGAAGTCTCAGATCAGACCGACCTGTGAAGAGACTACCGTTGCCTTCATTGCATTCGCTAAGGAATTGGCGAAAGAAGTCTGAATATTAAATGAATTTATTGTGTCAACAGTTGTATTACAATTTAAAGGCAATTTCTATTACCTTTGAAATAATAAAATTAACGACAACATTTAATTGAAACAATAAATTTTTCAGTGATTTGTAATTTGAAAGCAATATTTATACTTAATATCAAAAAGTTGATGATTTATTGTTTTCTTCCCATAGCATATACCGCCCCAAAAATCAGATTAGTTTTCGCATTCAAGCAATTATTGTGTCAACTTTTGTGATATCTTTCAGGCCTTTTCAATTGAGGCATATTTACAATTATTGAATATCGAAATGAAGCTTTAGGAATAATGTTTCATTTGAATATTTTTTACTATAATTTTGGCAACATTTAGTAAACATGTTTAATTTTCATAATACTTTAAAGGCGTTTATTATTTTAAACATAATTTGGATAATTGTAATAAATTTAGTGAATGAATGCAAATGTGATGTCAAGACATGGAATTCAAACTTTGATTTTAAAGATCCAAAGAATTGGAAGCAAAGAAGGATTCCGTGCAGTGCCGACAGAATTATATTCTCTGAAAATACTGTCATTTATTTAAATCAAGAAATTAAAGCCAAAGGGATTGTGAGTTTTATAAAATTATATATTTTATAATAAATATATTTTATGAATTAAAGGTTTTACCAAAAAATGGTCAAATAGTGTTTGGAGATAAGGCTTCTATAAGTTTAGTTGAAAATAATGTTGAAAACGAGTGCAACGGAAAAGGTTTCAATTTGTTTGCATTAATTTCCTTTAAAATACATTTAAATTGTGATTATAAATAGATATTGAATTTGTTGTCAATGAAAACAACAATTGGTTTGATCCGTACAACTGGAACCAAACTATTGATGTCATGTCTTCCAAGCAATTAATTAATGAAATCAAATTTGTTGGCAGTTCTGAAGACCAGAATCCTATACCACATATGGAAAGGATTCCATGTATTTATGATACCGTATCGTTTGGAGTGGACACTTCATTTAAAGTCACTATAGACTTAACTAATAAAATAACAGTTAAAGCGTTGCAAATATGGGACAAATCATTTGATTCACAGGATTTCACGAGTTTCATAACAAGTGATGTCGGGAAACAACTGTTCGCTATGAATGGTTTGAATGAGAATTTCATTATCGATGAGAATAAGGTTTGCGGGGATCAGAAGGGATGCGTTTGTGGCAATGAAGAGTCATATATTATGGACAAAGTTTGTCAATTTGTGTCTCATTACGGCTGTCCAACGCTTCAATGCTCGGACCCAATCAGACCAGTCGGACACTGCTGTGGAATGTGTGCCTCAATGCTAACCATTACTTATAAAAACGATTTCAATTTGGATTTAATTCAAGGCATAACCACAGCCTTCCTTAAAAGAAAGGAATACCTGAGCGTCAGATCGTATTTACATAAACTAAAGTCTCAAAAGTTTCAATTCATAGCAATTGATTTTGGAGAGAAAGGATTGGCTCACAAAATGGTTAATGCGATTAAACAGTATTTTCATGACGGTATGTATCGTATGCTTATTGTTTCAACAAAAATGCATTCAATATAACACTAATACACAGACAGATACTTATTTAGGTCCCGGAATATATAGCATCGATTCCATCGATATTCAATCGAGTACTGACTGGAGCACCAGTAGCTCTGGCTTTTGGGTTTTCTTTATATTCCTCATATTCCTTCTCATAGGAAGTGGTGTTGGAGTCAGTTATTACGTTAAAAAGAGAAGGTATTCACAATGACATCAATTATTGGAGTATATCTCAAATTCTTTATAAAATTTATTACTAAATAATTTCAACAGAATTTACACTCATTTTGCTTTCGCCCGCTTTCGTGGTTTGGATGGCGAGGATGGAGTGGAACTACAAGTGGGAACAACACCTCACGAGGCATTAGATCCCAACACTCCTATTCAGATGAGTACGAGTTCTGTCAAATATGAGGCCCAACCCGTCGAAGAAGCGGTCACTTTTGAAAACCCAGTCTTTACTCGACATCTCGACAAAGAGAAAGAGATTGAGAGTCAACACAAATCATCTTCACTCACTTCTGTTGACAACCCTTTCTTCTCAACAAACGATTGAAACTTTAAGTAATCGTAAAACAAAACTTATAATTCTGTTCCTATTCTATCAAATGCTATCATTAAACCATTTCTATACCATTATTATACCATTAAACCATTAAAGAGTTTCTATACAGCATCGAGAGATTGGGTTGAAGGATTAGTTTAGTCCCTAAATTAAATTCTACCTTGTTTGTTTGGAATTGAAGGATATTCTAATAAATTCAATACACTTTCAATTGTAAGTAATTTTAGATGATTTTTGGCTATTTGTCTCAAATTGATTTCACAAATTTATGAAACCCTTGAGGAACGCCTCTGTTATCTTTCAGGGGCTGATAATCCGTATCAAAATAAATTGATTTCAAGACAAATACCTAATTGTATAATTTCTGAAGCAATTGGTAGTTACAAGACTTTCTCAACTTATATGAAATGGCTTGATAAATAATTTGGATTTTAATCAAAAAACGTGGCAAATATTTGTATTTCTCTAAATTTCTCAACATTTAATTTTACATAATTAATAATTACTAATTATACACATAATTGTAATACTAATGTAAACTTGTTTAGGGTTTTATTTAATAGTCTTTATAAATGACTTAAATATAAATTTAATAATTAATTCATAAAAGATTTTATATAAAGTGACAAAAATAGTTGTCATATAATTAAAACCAAAACTTAAATTTACAGTTAAATGCTTAACTAAATCACAAATTATAAAAAGAAGTTTCAAAAAGAGTTCAAAATGATTGTACTTTGGTATGAGCTATGAGTATAAGTTAGTTAATGGCCCCAAAGCCAGGCTTTCCCTTTTCCCACTTCGAGATCGCGGATAACGGGAAACACATGATTCCCGACAATGCGATGGCAGAGCCCGACAAATAAAACGAGTTATCGTATGAGCCCGTTATGTCGAAAAACCAACCTATCATTGAATTTTGAAAATTTAAAAAATACTGTACCAATAAATAAACAAATGAATGTAACTGAACCTGCTATCGGTGAGCCTATAACAACAGCTATTCCCTGAAACATCAATAAAAGTCCGAAAGCATTGGTCAGTCGCTCTAAACCCAAGAGTTCAACAGTTATTACGGAACGGAGGGCTGCGAAACAGGCTATTCATGTGCGACAAGGGATTTGATAAAGAGTAAATGATAAATATTATGAATATATGATTGGAAATACCGATTGAAAAACCGAAAATAGCAGAATATATGATAAGCGTTAGGTAAGTGTTGCAAACGATGGGCGACAGTATAGTGGCTGAGCCGCCGATAGTGAGGGCCACGTTGTTGATGAGTAAGGCATTCACTTGCGGTCTGTCGGAAACCCAACCACAAAATACACGACCGATAGTATTGGTTATGCCAATCATTGATAACAGAAAAGCGCTTTTTTCTGGTGTATAGCCTTTTCAATGATAAATTGTTTGAATGGGAGATAAGATATGCATTAAATGTCTAACTATTTGCAAATTTGTAAGCAATGAATGCTAGGAGTGATAGATACCCAAGAGTTTAGCCCGATCTGCGATATACATGAATGGTATGAAAAAACCAGTCAAACAAAGAAATCCACTCAAAGACAGCAATAGAAACGATGGACTCGAGAGAAGAGTCAAATCAAACGTTTCCGTGAAATCAAAAGTAGAAAAACACGATTTGGACGACTCGTCCACCGATTCGTTGCTATCCTTTATAGAAGTTATAGTTTTCTTCGATTGAGACAATTCTTGAGATCCTTCTTGTGATGACTTCTCTTTTGATTCATTGATTGATTTGATTGAAGACAACCGGTTGGCGCTCTTGTCTAACACCTGACTCAATGTATTTGATGCCCGTCTGACCAAAACGAGACTCATTGCACTGGAAATCATTTCTTGTCTCATTAGTTCACTTTTGGTGCGAAGTCTTGAGTGCATCTCTTCCGGGGGTTTCAATGAGTCCCTCTGTATCTCATATTTCTGCGAAGAATTGTCTAAAGAGTTGTTGTTTGAGACGATGTCTACAATTTGGGAATAAGGTGGAGGAGCGCTGTTGTGACTGGCAGTGGGGGACTCCTCATCCACTTCTTCGTTGTCGGATTCACTCCAGAGCGCATCCCTGGCCTCTTTGATGCGAATTAGTAATGGCTTTTGTAACCGATTCTCATATCTGGTGTCTTCGACGGGTCTGAACAATGAGCTAAAAACGGCACAATTGAGTGTAATTCCCGCTAATATAAGGACACATCCGCGCCATCCAAACAACTCGACCAGCAGTTGAGTGACCGGCGCCAACACGAAGGCACCGATTCCTGTATTAATTGTAACACTATTTTAAGAGCTTTGAATGGAATGCAATCCATTTATATGTATGAATATAATCAACAAATTGGTGTATTTGTAAACTACCTGAACCACAAACAGCCACTCCTGTGGCAAACGCCCGACGCTTTTCGAAATAAAAGCCAACGATTACTATCGCCGGAAGAAAAATAAAACCAAAGCCTATGCCTAATATGTGGTCAAAATGAACTTGTTATGTATCAATTTGATGTGTTTGATGAGAATATTCAGTATATACCCCCTAAGAGTCCAAAAGTAATGTAAAGTGTGACTACATTTTGAGCAAAATATGAGAGTATAAATCCAGTGGCGGCCACAACACTGCCGAATATAGCAGTCGCCCGACACCCGTACACATTGGCCAATGCACTCACTATAGGACCTAATGGGCGCACATATACGGTCTTATGATACAGTAATTGTACGGTTAGTTAAGTACAGTACAGACCTAATAATAAATAGAAACCGCCCTGAAGTGAGCCAATCCACGCCGTATTGGCTTTGGTTTCATGAAATTCTTCAGATATTTCTAATAACAGTATTCCGAATGAGAATATAATACCATCCACTATGAAGTTACACATAAATGAGGCGAACACTACTACCCATCCAAACCCACCTGCAATATCAATTCAAACAAACTTTTGTAATTCACTTATTGGAAAGTCAATCATAAATTGCAAATTTATCTAATTTAGCAATTTTATCATGGATAACTGTATAATTTTTAATATTAATTATATACAAAATATACAATATAGTCTATTAAACTACATTAATAAATGTGATCAATGAATAAAGTATTGCAACTTACCATCGGGCGGTGGAACAGGTATTTGTGTGTCTTCATAATCACCAGGATCATCACTATTTATGTTGACTTGTATGCAATTTTCACTAAAACTCTCTTCTTTTATGTCTTTATTATTATCTTTTTCCGTAAAACTCTTTGTCGTAGAGTTATGTCTATTGTTAATTGCACTGAGTTTTAGATTTAAGTCATTTTCATCAATAGATTTCATTTTTTGCTGAAAAAGCAAATTTCAAAACTATATTCAGATAATCGATATTTTACTGCAAATAAAGATATAAAACAATATCTAATTTACTGATAAATTTCATAATTAACAGTCGTTTAAATGGTTTCAAATAAAACAAAATTAAAATTTTATCACAAAATACTTATAAAGTTACTTACATTTGTTTAATTTATCACTTAAAATATCTTAATTATATTTTTTGTATGAACTGTAAGAATATTACTGAAAATCATATTTAGCGTTGAAATTACATTTAGATGCACAAATCATTTCTATAGGAAATAGATTTATGATTAAAAGCACTTCTATAATATTAAACAAGATTTGAGTTATTATTAATATTTATTTAATATTTAATATAAGTATTGGTTATAATTCTCTCTCTTTTAATGAACGATCGCTTATTGAATGATTGAACGATCGACTGATAAATGAGTACTTGATTTGAGTGTCGGTTATGTTATTTCGACGTCTTTAAAAAATTTATTGTTATCTTTAATTGGATTGCAATTTATTTTTAATTCGCTGATATTTAAGCCAAAGAGACAAAGTTGAGACAAATGTCTAAATTATGACTATTGTTTTGTGATGTATTCACTAATCTATTTAAACAATACAACATTTATTATGATATACTTTAAATAGATTTTTGAGACACTTAATTAAATGGTAATCAAATGAAACAAATGAGTAAATACTGAAGTCATTTGATTTCAAGGATTACTTCAAGACTTTTCAATGATTGAGAATGTATTGAACAACTCATTCATTTCATATAGTTTTCCATTTGCCAAACATATGACATACGATAAAGAATTGGGTTTTTATTATCTTATTATTACTCAAGAAACTGATCGTCATTTAATTTAATTAAAAAAAGATTATCTATTTATCTATATTTTATTCATTCCCCACTCTCAACAAAAACTCCAGTATTTTTAATACAAAGTTTTGTCAATCTTTGTTAACATATACAGTAATATGCAAATAAATATCAATTTCATATTCTTGAGGTCTGTTTTATATATTCTTTCTGTTATTTTTATTTTTTATAACTCCAGTATTTTTAATACAAAGTTTTGTCAATCTTTGTTAACATATACAGTAATATGCAAATAAATATCAATTTCATATTCTTGAGGTCTGTTTTATATATTCTTTCTGTTATTTTTATTTTTTATAATTATCTGTTTACTAAAAATATTTATTACCAATAAATCAGTTGAACCGCAGTATTGAACATTTGATCAGAAAATCGCTAATCAATTGAAACAGTGATTCAGATTTAGAGGCCTTTTAACGAGTGTTATATCAAATACAATACCGTTGTGTTGAACTTGAAACCCATGAAAAGTAGATAATACTTTGTATTTATACTATAGTTAACTATTTTTTAAAGAAGTCGGACTTTTGAAATGTCTTTCATATCACACACTCCGAGCATTTTAAGCCCTCAAAAAAGTACTTTCAATTCAATATCCAATAGAAATTATTAGATTATTACAAATTTACAAATCAATTCAATTGTGATATATCTCACAACCGGCAAACATTTGTCAGCAAAAAAATTTATTGACAGAAATGTAATTTGATTTCTATTGAAGTTTATGCGATATCAATCACAAGCTTAACTTATAAATTAAAAGTTATAAACAATAATGTATTTTTGATTGAATGCTTATGAATAAGTACACTATGACCACGCTCAAATCTTATTCAATCACTTAATTTGTTTGGTTTATTGCAGAGCACAGGTATTTTCCTGCCCTCCTCTCAGAGGGTCTCACGACTGCCTTCTTGGAGACAATTATCAGAAGAGATGCCATGAAATGAGAAAATTATATAAAATTCCACACAAATCCATAAATCAATAATCAAATGCTTGAAATGCTCGCATTTTTCAAATTAAACAAAAGATAATATTTACTATAAGTGTATTGTATTGACATATCGTTAATATAAAAGTCATAATTATATGAATCTAATTGTAAATATTGTTATCAATAAAAACATTCAATTATTTTTCTTATTAAAGAAATTCGTTTTCAATAAAACATAAATCACTAAACATGTCGTCAATTACTGAATTGACAAATGAGATCGCCTTAAATCTGTTGATTATTTGTATAAAAAAGTTCAAAAATAAACTTCGGTTCAAAGAGAGGAAAATATTTGTTACAAAATACTGATTACACATATTTACTGTGCTTTAAAAATAGGAAAACAAGTTTAATGTATTCTTTGGGGTCTACCGTATATTCTTTAAAAACACAATTTTGCTCATAAATTAAGAAAAAAGTCAATAATAAGGAAATTCCAGGAAATGATTGTTTTTTAAATGGAAATATATTTCAGAAATATATTACAGATTAGAGACGGGAACAGAATTTTATGAATTTTGTTCATTCATTGATGCGATCGATCTTTCGCTAAAAGATTTCTACTTTTAATACAAACAAATCTATGAACTGTTTTACATTTGTCCACAATTTTGTTGGCAACAGAATATATGACACACCAGTCGTTGCATAGAATAAGGCATACAATTGGTTACCGTTTGATACCAACGAATGACTAAACATTTTACCTAAAGATTCATTAAATGCTATTATATTCTAGAAAAACAGAATTAATTTTGATCTTTGGGTTCACAACACATCCTGAATAATGTGTCAGTTATTAGAGTGGAGTATAAAAACGAGAATTCCTGTTAAAAGGACCCAATTGATGGTCTAATTTTCGGTGTATTCAGTAAAACAATGGATTTCCTAAACTTAATCACTGCTCTCTTTCCTCTATTTCTTTTAACTATTGATTTGTGTTTGTCTTCAGTGGAGGAAACAGTGGAAAACCAATACAAAGGTTACAAAGTATTGCGATTACTTCCCAACACATTGGATCAGTTGCACTACTTGTCAGATCTCTCAACTGATATCCAATTCGTGATTCCAAATAAAAAGATTGATTTCTGGACACAACCTAAAGACCTAAACTCAAGCGTCGATGTCATGGTTTCGCCAGAATTCTACAAAAATATCCGCCAAAAGCTTTCGCAACAAAATATTAAAAACAAAGTCATCATTAAAGATGTTGGAGAGTATGCCTTCATTTCATTTGATATATGATATGTTGTTTTCTAATCAATTATCTCATTATAAACAATAGATTAGTGGATCAGGAAAAGAAGACAATTGACGACCAACTCTTGTATAGGACTAAATCCTGGGCCCAATCACTATCGGCGGCTCAGCCACTATACTGTCGCCCATCGTTTGCAACACTTACCTAACGCTTATCATATATTCTGCTATTTTCGGTTTTTCAATCGGTATTTCCAATCATATATTCATAATATTTATGATTTACTGTTTACTCAATCTCTTGTCGTACATGAATAGCCTGTTTCGCAGCCCTCCGTTCCGTAATAACGGTTGAACTCTTGGGTTTAGAGCGACTGACCAATGCTTTCGGACTTTTATTGATGTTTCAGGGAATAGCTGTTGTTATAGGCTCACCGATAGCAGGTTCAATTAAATTCATTTGTTTATTTATTGGTACAGTATTTTTAAAATTTTGAAAATTCAATGATAGGTTGGTTTTTCGACATAACGGGCTCATACGATAACTCGTTTTATTTGTCGGGCTCTGCCATCGCATTGTCGGGAATCATGTGTTTCCCGTTGTCCGCGATCTCGAAGTGGGAAAAGGGAAAGCCTGGCTTTGGGGCCATTAACTAACTTATACTCATAGCTCATACCAAAGTACAATCATTTTGAACTCTTTTTGAAACTTATTTTTATAATTTGTGATTTAGTTAAGCATTTAACTGTAAATTTAAGTTTTGGTTTTAATTATATGACAACTATTTTTGTCACTTTATATAAATTCTTTTATGAATTAATTATTAAATTTATATTTAAGTCATTTATAAAGACTATTAAATAAAACCCTAAACAAGTTTACATTAGTATTACAATTATGTGTGTAATTAGTAATTATTAATTATGTAAAATTAAATGTTGAGAAATTTAGAGAAATACAAATATTTTGATTTTTGATTAAAATCCAAATTATTTATCAAACCATTTCATATAAGTTGAGAAAGTCTCGTAACTACCAATTGCTTCAGAAATTATACAATTAGGTATTTGTCTTGAAATCAATTTATTTTGATACGGATTATCAGCCCCTGAAAGATAACAGAGGCGTTCCTCAAGGGTTTCATAAATTTGTGAAATCAATTTGAGACAAATACAGCCGAAAATCATCTAAAATTACTTACAATTGAAAGTGTATTGAATTTATTAGAATATCCTTCAATTCCAAACAAACAAGGTAGAATTTAATTTAGGGACTAAACTAATCTGTATAGAAACTCTTTAATGGTTTAATGGTATAATAATGGTATAGAAATGGTTTAATAAGAATAATGATAGCATTTGATAGAATAGGAACAGAATTATAAGTTTTGTTTTACGATTACTTAAAGTTTCAATCGTTTGTTGAGAAGAAAGGATTGTCAACAGAAGTGAGTGAAGATGATTTGTGTTGACTCTCAATCTCTTTCTCTTTGAGCTGATGTCGAGTAAAGACTGGGTTTTCAAAAGTGACCGCTTCTTCCACGGGTTGGGCCTCATATTTGACAGAACTCGTACTCATCTGAATAGGAGTGTTGGGATCTAATGCCTCGTGAGGTGTTGTTCCCACTTGTAGTTCCACTCCATCCTCGCCATCCAAACCACGAAAGCGGGCGAAAGCAAAATGAGTGTAAATTCTGTTGAAATTATTTAGTAATNTGTCTTTAAATTTGATAATAGTTTTTAAACTGATATTATTTCTTGGCGTTCAATGCGATGAAGAGATCCGCAGTTATTCCGGATATTCAGTCATTCGTTTAGTCCCTAAGACTGAATCACAACTCAATTATTTGAGAGAATTAGAGGAAAATGTGTTAGAAGTAAGTTTTAACCCATTTATTGAATCTATTCTGGATAATAACATTGCTTTATATGAAGCTTGACTTCTGGAGGGGTCCCTCATATGTGGACAGACCCGTCGATGTTATGGTTCCGCCGCAACTCAATCATACATTTGATAAGATTTTTGAAGACAAACTATTGGAGAGAAATGTTATGATAGAAGATCTAGAAAAGTCTTTTAATACAAAAGTTTAAAAAATTTAATTTTGTAAATAATTTCTATAAATATAATATTTCAGTGATTTTATTGAAGACAAGGCGGACGACCCTGCGTTGAGAGCAAAGCCATTGCGAGCAGATATAGTCGAAAGACATTTTGATGACTTCCAGAGACTCCCAAAAATTCATTCATATTTAGACGCCGTTGTATCTAAATATCCGGCCGTGTCTTCCGTTATATCTATCGGTAACTCATATGAGGGCCGACCCCTCAAAGTGATTCGTATTGGCGAAGGCAATGAAAACCAAAACAAACCAATCATTTTCATTGAATCGGGAATCCATGCGCGCGAATGGATATCTCCGGCCACTACTCAATGTTTTGGTCAATACCTCGTTCAGGGATATAAAGCCCGAAATGCGGACATCACTGCTTTGCTCCAGAAATTTGATTTCTATATTCTTCCAGTTCTTAATCCTGACGGGTATTCCACGTAACATTTTAGATGATCATTAAATATGTGACCAATTCTTTTGTTAATATAGGTATGAATACACGCACACCAGGGACAGGATGTGGAGAAAGACTCGTAAGCCATACGGCAGCTGTTATGGTATACATTTAGCTAACTCTTTTTTGATCCTGATTCAAGTGTTTTGTCGTTGATTCAGGTGCTGATCCTAACAGAAACTTTGGGTACCAATGGGGAGGACAGGTTAGGTTTTGTTTCTAGTGAACGTTAACTTTGAAATCTAACAGTGCGTCTATTTAATCCTAACAGGGAGCTTCAACTAATCCATGTACAGTATTGTCTGTTTCATCAAAAAAAGTTTTCTCATTCAAATCTATTAGTCATGCATTTTTTGATAAATTGTTAAGCGATTACCAATTTTAAAAATGTGTTTATTGTCATATCAGGTTTTAAGAAGCAACGAATAATTTAGAAACTTTATACTTGATACTATAAAATTTTGAAATATTTGTTTATAAACTGATTGAAGGTTCGGAGACATATAGAGGTCCGTCCGCTTTCTCAGAACCCGAAACTAAAGCCGTTTCCGATTATGTGATGAGAATCAGAGACAAAATAAAGGCATATTTAGCCGTTCATTCATATGGACAGTATTGGATATATCCCTGGGTATTCATCTTATTAACATTAGTAATCTTTAGGACTTTAAAAATTAAATTATTTTTCTCAAAGGGTTGGACTAATACCTTGACTCCTGATGATAAAAATTTGGTGAGTTTTGAGTGAAATGATTGAAATATAAAGAATTAAAACTAATTTGAATGTTAGGCCCGATTGGCAAAAGTAGCTTCAAATGCATTGGCCTCTGTTTACGGCACTAAATACACGACCGGCACCTCCACTAATGTTCTCTGTATGTCATTTCATTCACCTTTAAAAACTATATTCAAAATGTTATAATAAATTTTACTTAAACGACAACAAAATGATGAGATGCGGCCGCTGGAGGAGCAGATGGTAAGACCTGTTTCGTATATTATATTCATTACTAATAGAGATGTGATGAACAGACTGGGCGTACGGGACGGGTGGCATAAAGTATGCCTATACTGTGGAACTCAGAGACAAAGGGAGCTATGGTTTCGCTCTCCCGAAGTCTCAGATCAGACCGACCTGTGAAGAGACTACCGTTGCCTTCATTGCATTCGCTAAGGAATTGGCGAAAGAAGTCTGAATATTAAATGAATTTATTGTGTCAACAGTTGTATTACAATTTAAAGGCAATTTCTATTACCTTTGAAATAATAAAATTAACGACAACATTTAATTGAAACAATAATTTTTTCAGTGATTTGTAATTTGAAAGCAATATTTATACTTAATATCAAAAAGTTTATGATTTATTGTTTTCTTCCCATAACATATACCGCCCCAAAAATCAGATTAGTTTTCACATTCAAGCAATTATTGTGTCAACTTTTGTGATATCTTTCAGGCCTTTTCAATTGAGGCATATTTACAATTATTGAATATCGAAATGAAGCTTTAGGAATAATGTTTCATTTGAATATTTTATTACTATAATTTTGGCAACATTTAGTAAACATGTTTAATTTTCATAATACTTTAAAGGCGTTTATTATTTTAAACATAATTTGGATAATTGTAATAAATTTAGTGAAAGAATGCAAATGTGATGTCAAGACATGGAATTCAAACTTTGATTTTAAAGATCCAAAGAATTGGAAGCAAAGAAGGATTCCGTGCAGTGCCGACAGAATTATATTCTCTGAAAATACTGTCATTTATTTAAATCAAGAAATTAAAGCCAAAGGGATTGTGAGTTTTATAAAATATTTTTTATTTTATATTATATTATATTATATTTTATTTTATATTTTTATAATAAATATATTTTATGAATTAAAGGTTTTACCAAAAAATGGTCAAATAGTGTTTGGCGATAAGGCTTCTATAAGTTTAGTTGAAAATAATGTTGAAAACGAGTGCAACGGAAAAGGTTTCAATTTGTTTGCATTAATTTCCTTTAAAATACATTTAAATTGTGATTATAAATAGATATTGAATT